GGATGAGAGTAAACTTCAATCACTTTGATAGATTAATTTGGAGAGCTATCCCGCTCATTGTTCTTTGGTCGTTGTGGAAGTGTAGGAACGAATGTATTTTCGAAGAGGCTCAACCAAATACTTCAGATTTGAGTGAAACTATCAAAGTCAGAGCTGCACTATGGCTGAAAGCAAGCATCAAGGACCTTCCCTTCTCAGTTGATGATTTAACCTTCAACTGGAGACAAATCAGAGCTGGGACTTCTAATCTTTAGGTTGGGCTGCCTTTGCTGTGTTGGGGATGTTGATCTGGGGATAAGTCAGTTAGTCTGCAGGATTTGAGGAATTTATGCAACATTAAGTCTGCAGAATTTATGGTCTGGTGTTCTGGGGATGTTTTGATCTGGTGATCTGGAGATGTTTTGATCTGGTGATCTGGTGATCTGTTGATCTGTTGATCTGCTGATCTGCTGGGTTTGTGTTTGATCTATTGATAGTCAATTTCTCTGCCTTGTTCCTCTGTTAAGCTTCATCAGTAGGCCTTCTTCATTGTCTCTCGGCTTGGCTTTGTTGGCTTTGTTCATCTCACTGCAGTTCTGTGGTGCTGTTAGTCTGCATATGGTCTGATTAATCCACTGGCAGGCCTGTGTTGGGAGCTGGTCTGATCTGTCTGTTTCTGGCAGCTTCATTTTGGTCAAAACACAAGCCCTGCCTGCTGCTGTGGGTGCCTCCGATCTGCTGGTCCTACTGTCAGTTCTTTTGGGCCAAAGAACAAGCCCTCTCTGCTGTTTTGTTTTGGTCTGTGGGTGCCTTGGAGGATTGGGAAGGCTTCTGATATGTTGCAATGGTGGAGGTTTAATTTTTCTGCAATGTTGCTGTTCTTTTAGTCTGTCTACTTCCAGTTACTTTGTTTGTTGCTTTCCTTTATTCTTTTGTCTTCTTTGTTGGTGCCTCACCAACTGGGCGCTTGGAGCTTCTTCTTAGCTCTAAGCTCCTCTATATTGATGTAATATTTCATACTTTGTTTGTTTCATCAATATAGATTTTGTTTAGCCGATCAAAAAAAAAAAAAAAAGAAGATCTCTTTAAGTACTTTTTAATTTATAAAAAAAAATTTAAAAATTTTGACGCAAAAATATATTATTTTTAAGTTTTTGATTTCTGTTCTACACAAAAAAATTTGGGATGAAAGTAGTAATATTTACTTAAAAAATAGTTAATTAAATTTTCGGTCTCCAAAGTGTAAGTCTTGTGTCATTTTCTTTTTGAATGTTTAAATTGTATAAATATAGTTCTTAACATATAAAAGTGTTTCGACTTAATTCCAATTTTGAAATTAACACAATTTGAATATTTCACAATAATCGTACTTTGGGACTAAAAATGTAATTAATTGTAGAATGAATATATATATATATATATATATATATGTATGGATGTATGTGTGAGATTGAGAGATAAAGAGAACATACAAATTGTATGGTAAACTTTTTTAAAACGTGTGTACCATATGCAATTGTTATGTATTTTTGTGGCGTATTTTTTTTTTTTTTTTTTTATGAAAAGCTTTAACTATTTTTGTAGTAGTGAGAGGACTGATGAGAGTACAATCATCTTTCCTCTCCTGTCAATCGCTGAGGGTAGAGTCCATTTTTCCTTTCATTCATTTTTGAGGGCCATCCTTCGCTACTGGGGTTTAATCCCTTCTCAGCCTAACGTAAATTTTTATTGAATAATAATGGGAATTGTAGAACTAAACTGATGCCTTAGGCTTGACCTTGGAATCCATGCTATTCGGCATTGTTATGCCTTGGCCAAATCCTTTGGCTGGCAGGGGCGCTACTTCCTCAGGGCTAAGGACACCGACCATCATTCGGTGACTATGCTTGCCAGCTCTGGCAAGCGTGTTGATGATATCATGGTCGTTGTCCGCGGCAATTGAGAATTCGGTGAGGGTGAAGATCGCCTAGATCCAATTCCTAGGCGAAGAGGCGAACCAGGTGGCCATTTAATCCCCCACGTATATTTGTTAAATATTTACTCGGTTCAAATTCTACGTACCTACCATTTCATTTGTGCATGTAACGATTAGAAAAAAGTTCTCATCTCGGCCGACGACATTGTCCTTGCGCAAATCAGAACCGCGTTTCAGTTCTTTGGCCGTCTGAATCTCCAGAACCAAGGGAGGGCAGCCCGCATACTTCTGAGATACGAGCCGACTTACGCTACATTTTCAGCCGCAGATAACATTTTGATTCTGAGGGGCGAACAGCAGCTTACGACACTTATTTTTTCGAACTTCAAGAATTTTAGGCAGATTAGTCTTGAAGCTTCAGATTCAGAGCCAGCGGAC